AGTGTCACTTAATTTATTGATGAGAATGGGGTGAAAGAGAGTGTCAAAGGCCTTCTTAAAGTCTAGAAAGACTACGTCCACTATCTGTTTTACGTCCACTATCTGTTATTAACAAATCCAGTTCCATTTAGTGTTTCCATATAGAAGCTCCCTCTTTAGAAATAATTTTAAAAACATAGGCGTTGAACACGTGACTGACTGGAAAAATAAATAGCCACAAGCTCTTTATTTTTATAGCCAATTTTCTACAGTTCTGTCTCCTACCTATGGGGTCTCCTTTACTATGCAATTTTCACTGTGTAATTTTTTGTGAAGAAGTCCTCTAGAATATGCTTCTGTTGCAATGATAGTATAAAGAACCCTATAGAACTTAAAAGCTAATGATGATTGAAAAACTTTCAATAGATTTTATGGGGCCATTTTATAGTGAGACAATTATTCTCTATTAAAAAGCCATAACACGGTTTAAAAAATCTTGTAGAATGGACTCTCCTTTATATTCTAAGAGCTTTTCAGTAACAGATTACATTAAGAGAATACTCTCTGGGATAGGTAAAATACTACATACACCCAAGGTGTTATGTAAATGATCGATAAGACACAAGCATTTGCATTTCCCTTTAGAAATGGTCTGTTGTTATATTACAGAAAATAATTTGACCTCATCTTATGAATAATATTATGTGAATAGATCCAGGTGCCAACCTGAAAATAGCATGGTATCCGGGCAGATTCAGCAGAGCCATAGTTGTCAGGATGTTTCTAAAAAAATTGTCATTCTGAAGGGTGGCTTTTAAAAAGAAAATTATAGATAAAGTTCACATGTTGGCAGTAATTTAATGGCCCCAATTATCTGGTCCAGCTGTGCCCATTCTACTTCTGGCATAAATCAGAGCAGCAAATAGGCTGTTCTAATTCATGACAGCTGCCAGCAGTCTCCCAAAGACTATGGCAGCAGTCAGGCATAGAGACACTGTGCCACATATGCCCTATAGCCTAGGCACTACCTGATGTTGGGAGGTCATGCTAGTGGCTTTTTGCCATTAAAGGATCATCTACACAGGGAAACTTCAAAGGGCTATATTGTGTGACTGGAGCTGTGCAAAGGTAGACCCATTGCCTTCAGAATGGCTTAGAACTGCTTAAACTTTGCACTGTAGTATAATAACAGTTTATCGTGCTTGCATTTGCTGGTCTCTGCACCTGGATGGGTTAAAAATGCTCTGTGAATGATAAGGTATTGCAAAACCAGGTTCACCCATTCAAGCATGCAGATGTTTTATTTAAGTATTCCTCCGATGTCCATTTATTCAGCATAATACATATATTATGCTGCCTTCTGAAACACGATATATGAATTTCAAACAAAATTGTCCAAAACAACAACCTTGGTTTTTTTGTATGATACACAGAAATAATTACATTTCATTTACAGTACAGATGCATTTACACAATCATCAACAGTCATTCACTACCAAAACAGCATTTAAATCACCTAAAACACCAAAAGAATGTTTATTTTTCCAAATTCAGAATAAATTAATAATTTTGCATAAGTGATAGATGGAAATAAGAGACCAGACTGGCATTCTGCAAAAGCTCGACAAATTATTTCTTAAACCGTATTTTAACCATGAGGATAAAAGTAATTGGGGGTGTCATCATTATATAAGTATTGCTGTACTGCATTTTCTTTAGGTCATCTGAACAATGGAATCAAGAGGCCAAATTCTTTAGCCCTGTGCAACCTCAGTGAGGCCAATGAGATTGAACAGGATATGTAACTCAGTGCAGATCTTGTTCCAAATGGTTTTCAGAAACTGCCACCTTATATTAGTTTCCTGATGAAAGTTGTCAAGAAGCACCATGTGACATAAAGGAGAAGCTGTTGTAGATTGTTAATATCAGGGCAGTTTTCATACAGTAATTGCCTCAACAGAGGCTAGGCACAAAGCCAGTCTTTTAAACAAGTAATTATGAGTAGAAAAAAGAAGCGAGTAAAATCTCTGGGCCAGACTTATTTCAGTCTTACACTACAGTTAAACTAGAGGAACTCTTTTGGCTTCAAAGGATTTACCCCAGTTCTACAAGAGAGCAGAAGAGATGTTCAAAATAATTGACTTCAATAGTTATTGGAGCCATTCACTGTTGTAAGAGGAGAATTCAGCACCAGTGAGAGATGCTAAATTCTTTACAAGAAATGTACAAGATCTGATTCCATTTTCAAATAGTGGAATCCTGCTAATTTGCACAAATGAATAGGAAATTCATTGCAATTTAATCCATGTTATGGATAAATCAACAAATGACATCAAAACAAGAATAATGCATCACAAAATGTACTGTTTTTCTTTTGTCAGCTGTAATTTAGCTTTAATGTATGATGATGATAACTTATTAGTAAACATACGCTAGCATATTTGGTAGAAATATCAGACCCTATTACAACATCTTGCTGGCCTTCCCTACCTAAATCTGCAGAGTAAGGAGTATCTGGATTAGTGAGGTTCTACTTTCACAGTATACTTCTTCTTAATGTAAATGGTGAGATGATAGTAACTGGTACTGTAGTGTATGAAATGTACAGCATTAACAGTATTTCATTTTTACAGGAGGCAAGGATTTTTGATAGGTGATATTTTTTATTGGACTAACTGCATGTTTGGGATAGATGTAGACAAGTTTCTGGATACTACAGTACCCTTCCTCAGGAGACCTGAGGATGTTGTAGCAATATTTCTCATGTCTCCTGAGGAAGCATACTGTAGTACCCAAAAGGAAGCCTTTTTTAAATATTCAGCTGGTCCAATAAAAGAAATCACCCACAAGTCCTTGCCCCCTGCATATTTCCTGGACAATCACAACTATAACATCACTACAACTTAACTGCTTCTGATAATTTTCTCTAATACACCGAGTTTTTTGATTAGTATGTCTAATTTTTTTTTGTATGGAGATGTGCATTAATTTCCACTTACACAGTATTTTTTTGTACATGAACTACTAGGTGCTTCTAGAAGCAAAATCCAGGACACAATCCCAGATATTCCACAGACTTCTGAAACCAGAAATATTCATTATTGGTGATTCTGATTAGTCTATTTGCCTTAGCACAGTGCTGCAGGTGGGCAAGTTAGCTGGACACTACCCCCTGAATCAGAAGCAGTATAACCTTGTTCAGGTGGCGCTGTGCTCAAGCTAATTAGCTCTACCTTTTTAGCAGAGCTTGTTGTTATAGCCTTGTTCACCTGGCATTGTGCATGGGCAAATAAGATCTGCTGAGGCAGAGCCCACGGCTGTCTCCCAGACCAAATCAGTGGAGATCTCTTCACACGGTGCCAGGCAGTACGTTCTGTGTCTTCTCAGTAGATACAGCAGGATTCTGTGTGTCACCACACAAATGCTTAGGGTTGAAGAGGGACGACTGCCAACTGGGGACCAATTTTTCAGATTTGGGACCAATATCCTGTCTCAGGAAATCTTTGGGGACACTGGGAGACAGCCCCACAATTCAGGATGGTTGGATGCTTTGTACATAGACAGCATTTTCAAGATGTAAACCTCTTAAGGACATTCTTTTATTCCAGCTAATAAACCTGCTCTTAGGAGAAACCTTAGTGGCGAGAAAATTTAGATTTCCTTAAGAAGTGAAGCACGAGGGCATTATCAACTTGTGAATTCTATCAAAATTGCATCAAAATTCCCACTGAAATCCATTACAATTGTGCAGAATTGGCCCCCAAATCTGTTTTTATCAGTATGTCTCAGGAGAGAAAATATCATTACAAGTTATAAAGTCAAAAATAAATGTTAGGATGCAGATTTACAGGTAATGACTATAAGAAGTGTTTCTGTAAACAGTTTTCACTAAATGTCTTCCGATGCTCAACATGTCTAATCCCCTGGATGCTGCAGAATAACAGAGGTTTAGAGATAAGTGTTAGTTTGTCACAAAACCGCCTTTGTTTTAGTTTCATTTCAGATGGAATTGGCATTGTAACACTACACTAGTAAAACTATTGTTCAGGAAATACAAAAGTGAGGCGGCGTTTGCAGAACAAAAGACTACGCCAATTCATTAAAAGCCTTGAAATTCCAAAGAAGAAAGTAATGTTCGAACAGATAATGTACTGTCACAGAGTACTGGGGACAGAAGGAAGCATGATTGAAAAGTACATTTGTGGTGCAGTTTTGATTACGAGACCATTTAAAATGTTGCCATAGAGAAAATATTTTCTATTGGTGTAGTTTATAGTCTAGATGAATTCTTATAAAATACCTAAAGAAAAAAAGTCCTGATACCTGATACAACAGGTGTACAATGAATTATTGCAGTTGTAACAGTACCTAGGAAGCCAGAGAAAACGAGAATAAATACTGAACTAACTGAACACCTTGAGTTCACTAATGAGTGTCTGAATAAGAAATACTGCAGTTTTCAAAGGGAAGTTATTTGTACAACTACCATGGAACATTAACAATCAGCTTGTTGTAAGTGCACAGAAATGCCCCTGTCTACAGTAATATTTTTCATGCCTAATTTGAAAAAACAACATAAGTAAACCGAGATCACAGCTCCAAATAATTTCAGCATGCATTATGGTTGTATTTCTTTCAATCAGGACAAACTTATTTCACATGAGCTTTTTCTTTTTTTTTTTTTTTCTTCTTTTTTCTTTTTTTTTTTAAACAGTCTTGACAAGTTTATGGTTTAATAACAGCAAAAAAGACATGTTATCAAAATGCTTTTCATTGTTGTTTTGCATTCAGCTGGAACATAATGTCCAACCTTTTTTTAATTTTATTTTTTCTTTAAAAAAGAGCTCTTATGGTAAGAAGAAGAAGCATCAATGGGGGACATTTCATTGTGCTCATAGTTAAGTCAAAATTTTGCTGTGAAACAGTTCAAATGACATGTAAAAACTCCATTTGGTTGCCTGGTTCACATGCCACAGCACTGAAACCCAAATTGTTTCGTTTCTCCTGAACCTCTTGCTCTGTTGTTGCTGTAACCCCTACCAAGGGCGTGTTGCCTTTTCCAGCTTTCTGTTTCTCCAGAACTATTTTTTTTCCTGCTACAGCTGAGTCTCCAAGCGTCTATTCTACTTGTTTTATAAAGCAGATACTCTGACAATGTTTCCTCCTGAATATTCGGGAGATTGTGGCCTATCATCCCCTTTGGGTGTGGTGACTGGGGGTGTTGGGATGCTGATTATTGCTGTGGTGACATAAGGCTGCTCACAGTTTAGTTTAACGCACTCTTCCACTTTGGCATTTAACCTGGATCGACTAGGGAGAGAGAGAGAGAGAGAAAAGAATAAAAAAATGTTGATACTGTTGAAAACTTTGAAGTTCCATTACCCCAACTGACCAGCTTAATGCCCATTAAGTTAGTAGGCAGGGGAAACATAAATGTGCTGCAAACAAGGCTCTTTAATTAGCAGGGCATGCAGCTCGGGAAGAAATGTCTGAGCCTCTTAACAGTATCCTAATATTATTTAGCTCACTAGCAATACACAGACTCAAAGAGCTTCATAAAGGAACTTAAAACTGAATTTGCAAAATAAGAATGTGGAAGCTAGCCCAGAGGGACAAAGTCACCTGCTTAAAGTCAAACAGCAGGTCAGTGGCAGCCAGGAGTCGCCCTTGGGTTTCTTGGCTCCCAAAGCTATCCAACAGAACACGTGCATTCCTTATGACTGATGTAGCATGGCTAGAGCACCCACCACCAATATCCTCTACTACTGAGGGGCTAAAACCAGCAGAGCTTTTTACAGATGGATCCCATTTGTAATTCCCTTGCTGTGTCTAAAGAGAGAAGTAAGCAAAAATACAGGTCTGGGTAGGCAGGGGAATACAACTGCTGAGTTTTATGAACCCATAAGGCATCTATTGTTTGGAAAGAGACAAAGAAGGCAGGGTTCTTTAGCATGGGGCACTCCTCAACATGGCTATAAGTAACTGGTCACTTGACTGGAACATCATAACTATAAGACTTGAGATAAATACAAATGGTGGCATAGGCTGATAACAAGGAAGGGATAAAATCCCCTTTCCAGCTCCAGGGCTTAGTACAAAGAATTTGCATTATAGCCTCATGAGCTGTAATGGGAGCCAACCTCCTGAGCTTAAAGCTGTGCAGTTGCTCCATTGGCCATGCCCTCGGGGCTTCCTCCACTGGCACACTCCTAACTTGCAGTGCACAAGAGGAAGCAGAGCCCTCCCTCCCCACCTTAACCTTTGTTGCATGGCCTAGATGAGTCACTTAAGCACTCCCCCATGTGACCCAAACACTACCTGCTTCTCTCTGATGGGCTCAAACTGCAGAATGCAAGAGGGAAAGGTTTGGGGAGAGATGATGCCAGTACTTGCACAAAATGTGAGAGAGGAATAGTCTCAGTCCTATTCTTATCCCACTAGACCATGTTTCAGGCTCAACATGCTGCGGGGGGGCTGGCTGGGGCACTAGGGTGTGACAATGTGGGGCTAGCCAGCAGGCAGCCCCTGCACTGGAGCACCCGTGTCCCCCCACCAGGCCCATCAGTGTGTATACATGCATTGCTGTGCACTAAAGAACTCCACCATAGGATAGTACTTGTATTTACAAGTACTAACTTATGGCAGAGTAGATTAGTTTCCTGCAGCCTAATAGGGCTATACATGTAGATGCTGAGATTTTACTGCAGAACTAATTAGGCAGCTCTACAGTAAATGTCTTGTGTAGATGTGCCCATTAAGTGTGAGATTTACTCCCACATCCACATCTGTAAATTATTCTTATATGTTTGTGCAATGACTGGAAGGATATGAAAGAAAGTCCCACAGCGCAGAAAGCTGTATTGAGACAGAATTAAGCCTGAAGGCTGAGGGTGTGGATGCTGTTCCTGCAGTGGTCGGGCCACTCCACTGAAGAATAGCAAAAAGAAATGTACCCCACCTGCAATTAAACAACCTTCTGAGCTGCTCCTGGAAGTGGATTCCCCACCTAACAATTATTCACAAGTTCACTTAACAAGACAATCCCTATAGCAACCTATGCTGGAAAAAGATTCTTTTTAAAATGAAAGTATGTAACTCAGCTTCAACATACTTTTACTTTTACATCTAGTAAGACCTTCACAATGTTTTCCAAAGCTGTGCCCATATATGTAAACATTAGAGCCAAGGGTTTCGTTTGTGCGGGTGCAGGAAAGTTAAATAAATTCCTTCGTACCCTTTTCTCCTGCATTTATTTATATATTTTTAGTAACTCTCCTACTCAGGGAACATGTTTTTCTTATTCACTAGGCATTCATAGAGAGGAATGACATCCTTATGACTAGGGCACTAGCCTGGGACACAGCATATTTGTTTTCAATTATCAATTCTGCCACAGATTCCCTGAGGGAACTTGGGGAAGTCACAACCTTCCTGTCTCTTTATATTCTGTCTATAAAATGAGACTAGTATTCCTTTTCTCCCACCCCTTGTCTGCCACACATTTGAATTGTAGACTCTTCCAGTAAATATTGTCTCTTAGTATGTTTGTACAGGGCCTACAATAATTGAACCTCAATTTCAGGTGTTGGCCCCTAGGTACTACTTCAATACATATAATCTATTACAAGATCTTTTTATTTTTTTTGTGGTTTACATTTTCATTTGTTCAACATGAACCAAACCCCAGTGGAAGACACTGGTGCACAGCCACTAATATCAGGGTCCCCATTTTTGGGCAAATGATTTATCTTGGCCTGCTCCTTTATCTTACCCACCTGGGCCACAGTCTTACCCTAATGAACAAAGGTTAGTCAAAGAACCACCTCTCAAATCACTGTTAACATTTAAATACCTGTTAGATAGAGGTGTTCTCTCCATACATCTGATCTGGATGGTGCTGAGTTCTTGTACACTTCCTTGACGGCTGCCGGTTACATTGGTGTTTGGGATATGGAATGTCTTTTTATGTCGGCGTGAGCAGCAAGTGCTGGTAACACCTTGTTGAGAAGAGAGAGAAGGACTGTGGCTTGAGGGTCGATTGACTGTGGAAACCTCCATACAGCTTTCTTCATAGGCTTGTTCATCCACAAATTCATGATTCTGGTCCGCAGCAATCCAAAATGTGGCAAAAGCATATGCACAGAAACACAACCACACAAACACAGTATGATTAGCACTGAGAATATTATTCTGATCAAAAACCCCTCCCATATCAGGACATGCTTAAAGGATTAATTTAACATGATCAATGAGTCTGGGAAAGTGAGAGGATGAAGTCTAGATTACAGTTTTCAATCTGTATCAGCCTGTGCTGAACATATACTAAAACTGTAAATAAAGAGTCAAAATGATCAAACTAGGAAGTTATTGAGTTATCAGAAATACAAAATCATTTATCAGAACAGAAATCCTTATTCAGATGGTCGTAATAGGTATAATCCTAACAATAAAAATATAGTGATATTCTGTAGGTTTCTTTTTTTTATTCTACTTCTCTAAATGCTCTAAGTGACATTTGTAAAAGAAAGAAATCCACACTTCTATCCACACTTTAAATATAGTAAAATAATGTTGATTTTGATTTTGGTACCAGTATGTGATACGTCATTGGATATACATATGAGAAATCATGACTCAAAATGTATTTCAAGATACAGGAATAAAACTACATTTATCAAAAAGTGAGACAGAAGCTAAAAAAAATACCAAACATTCCATAGACAAGTTATCTTGGCTAAACATCATGGGTCAGTTTACTTTAATCAGTTTAGAAAATAAAAACTTAAATTTAATAAAATTAGTCTTTATTCATAGGAACTTTACTTAGACAGCAAGGTATAGGCTGATCATGACCAGTGTCACAGAAAATCCAACTAATACCCATTTTCACTTTGATTCATTTTGATTCACTCTGATACAGATTTCAAATCTGTATTCATAATATTATCATATTCTGTTTCTCACTGTTTCAAGAAGAGTGACTTGGTGTCTCAGTTTTCAACAAAAGCAACATATATGCAATAAATGCATGCAGTAGTCTTAAGGTAGCAGCCCAAGACTAAATGGAAACAAGATGCTGTACACCGAGACAGTTGCTGTTTTCACTTTTGCAGCTATTGGTGGAAAAACTGTTTATTTTGAAAATGGTTTGGGAAGCATATTCTGGGTTGCCTTAGAGTCTATGCAATTCCAGTTACTTCATTACTGTTGGTTCTCTGCATTTTCATTTTCAGTTTTAGGCAAACTAATTTTCTTTCCTAAAAAAATGATCTACTAATACAGAATATCATTCAGATACCCAGAAATACTCTGTATATATTCATGGTTTCCAAAAGATATATAGTATAGCTAGAAGAAGGTAAGTACATTTCATAATTTATGAGAAAACACAAATAGCCATTTAAATTTGTTACTACTGTACTAACATTGCTAAATATTTGCTACAAATTGAACTGTCTTCTCCAACATGCTACTGCTGTTTGCTTTCCTTCAGACTCACTTTGACTCATGGATAATCAGGTGTCATTTCGTGTGGAAGGAAGTAGTGTAATGATTTCAAATGATACAGGGAGGAACATACTATTTGTGTAACTTGCTGGAAAATTGATTCAAGGGCACACATCATTTATAAACAAGACTTTAAATATGATTACAGCCTGGCTACAGAATGCAGAAAGAGAATTACTTAATAGTCATCTTTAGCTTCTATATAGTGGCTTCCAGTATGTTTGCCAAGAACTCTGTCAGTTTTTTCAAATTGAAAACAATTTTGTGCTTCCTAAAACTATTGCAGAGCTACCAAATAGAATTCAATTAGTGGGCTCTATTGAAGAGAGATGCTGAGCAAACTTTTAATTCAGACTGGTAATATTTTGAAATTATAATAATTACTCAATTTAATATTCAATTATACTTGTCAAAAATATCAAAAGTTAAAAAGTCCAGAGTTCTTCTTTGAGTGCTTAACTAACCATCTGTATATCAGATAAACAGATATCCTACAAAATATACAACTCTTGGCATTAGAAATACAGTTTTGGAAAGGAAAGCTACGGACCATAACATGACACCAAGTGCACTTCTTAGAAGAGATGAAAAGAGAAGAAATTGTATTGCAATGGGCTAAAATGCTAGCAATGAAGAGGAACCTCAAGCCCTTAAATTCCAAAGATGTTTCTTTGCATGAAACTGGCTCTGACTTCTGCTGTAGAGGCTTAAAAGGATTGGGGAACACTTATCAGTAGATGAGGACATCCAAAAGAGAGGCTTTCCTCTTACTTTTAGGGAAGGCACAAGCTGGTCATGTGATTCATATAACAGACTGTATATCTGGGACCCAGAAAAGCAGAGGTGTGCCAATGTGGGTGAAAAAGCAAGCAAAATTATATGCATATTCTATAAATCACGATCCAGCTTCTACATTTTTGAATAGTCAACAACATGTTAAAAAAGAAATGGAATATGTTCAAGGTTTCCACCATGAATAATTAGAGGAGTTGGGAAAACTTCAGGGTTGGATCTATGTCTCAAAGTCAATGGCAGTCTTTTTATTGACTTGTATGACAGTTCAACCAGGCCTGGAGTTATGGTTAGAGTTTGGAAATGTGTTTGTAAAAAATTCATCTGCAAAGTGATTTCTAAAGCAAACCACCCCAGATGAATTCTACTACAGTTTGCCTCAAAAGCACTCCAAAGGAATTGAATTGCAATAGAACAGATAGGTTGACTACACGCTATCTTGTCAAGTGAACCACTTTTTAATGTTTATATAAAGCCAGACATTCTGTGCTATTCTTCCCTAATGCTTACATCAGATATGAATATTAAAAAAGACAGCATGTAAAAAACATAAGCACCTGTGAGATGACACATCAGTATCTAAATGACAGATAACAACTGGAGCATTTTAATTACAAGGAAATGCTGTGGAAATAAAAATACAAGTTATATACATGTATAATTTTATATTTATTTTAAACAGCTAGGCACATCTTAACATGTATTTTGGGGGGGCTGGTGGTGAGAGCTCAGTAGAAATGTTACTGGAAAGCCAGCAGTTCTTTGACTCGCACACAGAAAAAGCTTGATTCTCCATCATTGTGATTCCATCACTATCAGGGGCATTAATAACTGTAAGGGTGAAATTTTACAGGAATTGTTAAATTTTGTAATGATGTGACCTGGTGCATGTGCAAAGACAGAAAATCTCTGATTTTTTTTCCTCCTATAATGCACCTTCATATACATAGTTTGGAACATAACAGCCACAGAGATGAGCTCAAATCACAAGATTCAAATTACAATTCAGATTTTCAGCAGCTAAAATTTGACTCATCTCTGTCTTAAGACAGTTGTCAAGAAATGGAAAGAACAGCACAGTCCACACTGATGGTCACTATCACAGACTTTGTTAGGGGTAGCTAGTTCTTACAAATTGGAGGTAAACTTATAAATGGTACCTTCGTGGCTGTCGAACAGCTTATTGATAAGCTGGGATCATCCACAACATAAGATAGACCCTACATGGCAATAGGGTCAAAGGAAAAAAAAACAAACACAAGGACAAAAGTAGATTATTTTAGTAATCTCCAACACAAAGTCATTAAATATACAACCAATAAATTCAATATAATTATTCTTCCTGTAGCTAACTTCCTGAGAAATAATAAACAGGAAGTGATGTCAGAAAAGTAATGTTTAATGTTGTAAAACTAGACATTTATTGGCCAGAATTGTCTGTGTGAACAAGACTGAAGCTTGTAACAGTTACTGGATCATAAATTATATTTTAATTTAACAGTCATAATTATTGTGTAGTTTTTTAGATAATACCCAGTGAAAAGAAGACAATGTGTGATTATCAGCCTTTGTAACTGCTTGGAAGTGTTTAATCAATACAGATGTATGTTGCTGTTTATGAATTATCTAGCCAGTTCCTAGAAAGGGGGTTGGTGCTTGAGCTGAAACCAAGAAAAAACTCTGTTCCTCTGTACTTTCATGTAAGGACAACATTTAAAACAAAAATGCTGAGGGTTTTTCTCTTGCTGTCACTCAAATTAAAGTTGTGCTTGCATTGCAGGACATGTCCATCATCTCATAGGACTGGTCCTGAGGATCCAACTATTCAGCCATTCCTTGGGCAAAAACTTGCATTGACTGAACTGGGAGATTTACACGAGTAAGGACTGCAAGACTGTACTGCAGAAAAGAGTGTAAATGTGCACATACAAGAATAACCTTGTGTTTATAGATATATAAAAAAACTCAGATCCTCAGCTGGTGTAAGTTGGGCTTTCCTGAAGTCAGTGTCCTCACACCCAGCAGAGAATCTGACCAAATATTTTGGCAAATTATTAGGTATATTGCATGTAAATAAAATATAAATGTTTAAATATAAACACAAACTATAGTAGCCCTTGATCCTGGTTAATGACTGCAATGTGACTGATCATTCATTAGAAGAAAGAAGCCACTGCAACCCCTCATATTTATATTATAGTTTATGGGAAAACATTGTTTCCTTTTTCTTACCGTGGTTTTTTCCAGACAGTGGAGCAGGTGGTGATGCTGTGTTTCAAAGCAAGAGCCGGATTTGCTAACAAAGGCCTGTTCTTCTTCACTGGAGAACTGTTAATACATAGAATTGCGTATTACTCGTATTTGTGAACAAGAAGTCCTTTATCCAAATGTTTGATCAGAACGGACCTGGGCTATATCCTGCAACTTATCTGCAGAGCTTTATCAGTGTAAAGCATCATAGTGGGCATACCTGCATGTGCATTTATGCTGGTTTAAATTTACTGTGCAGTAAATGGGAATAGGCTGGCATTTACACATGCAGGCATTAAAGCACATTGACACTGTGCGTGGACAGACTGACTTGAAACTAAAGTTAGTCCCATGTTAGTCCACACACACAGTGTTACTGTGCAGTAAGGCATCTATATGTGTCTTAATGGGCAGTAACTTAATCGGGTGTAAATGTGATACCTGCATCATGCGGATATCAAATTTACGCTCAAGTCAGCATAAGTCGCTATATTTACTGCACAGCACGGACATAAACGTATAGATACGCATGTGTACCACGCAGTAATTTTGGCTACTGTGCAGTAAATGTGCACATGTAGACATAAGTGCACATGTGCCCAGTATGACATAATTTAGTTTGGGCAGGCTTTTTGGTATAGGCTTCAAAAATATTTTCTCACCCTTTCTGAAGGTTTGCATCTTAAACATGTTGGCTAGGTACAGACATTCAAAAAGCCCAAGGAAGAATTGATTTAAGTTGCACAGTTTTTTCTGTAAGCAGCATAGTTTAGATTGGTGGAACCCGGTCTAATATTTGCATTCCTCCCCCACCAAAGGGCAAATATGTGTTCTGTTCATTACTGTTTTTAAACTAGACGGTGTGTGCCAAACTTCTGTTCTGTTACAAGTATAGACCATTTTCTGATCACTTATACCAGTAAAACTGTAATGCCTGTACCTGGGCTTTGTGCATTGTTGTGAAGCATACTGTACTTCCGCAGTTAGTTAAAATATATAGTCAAAGTGTGTATGTATGCAATAATATATAACTAATACATATTTTAAAATATATAGTTAAATAGTACAAGTTGCAGATGCAAACATCATGTAAGGTCGTGAATGTAAAATCAGCACATATTTAAAACTGTAATATATCTAACTGACAGTAAAAGAATTTTCCCCAGACATGTGCCTTTTTTGAAAAGAAATTACATATAACTTGCTTGTTTCCTCTTGGGGATTGCTTCATAATGCGAAGAATTTGTGGTATTACACTTCACACAAAAATATCATGTCACTCTTCCCAATCTGCTGAGGTTAGAAAGCATACAGCAAACAATATAGGCATTTACAAGATTTACCTGGAAAATATCCATTGATTTTATTAATCATTTTAATAATTATTCAATGGAGGGAAGTAAACTGAACTTGGATAAATATGGGGATATGTCAAGGTTAGCATTGGACATGAAGGTGGATGCCAACAGTCCTAGATTATGGGAGGTATGAAATCCATCTTGGAATGTAGTTATCCTGGCCTTGTTAAAATGGTATTTCTCAGGTAGGTCTGTCCCATAAAGACTGCACCTTTTTCTGGTTTATTTCAGGGTTCATACAAGTGTTCAAATGAACTGGTCTAAGCTTCATGGTTTAGTCTGAGCGGCGTAAACCCTTATTGATAGAGCACCATGCAAGCATTCAGGGGAGGAAGCATGCAGGGACTTTGTGCTGGTGACAGTCTCCCAGAAATTGTTGAGAGCAACTGAACACGCAAGCCAACCCTGATTTGGTTGGCTGCCACTGGGAACACTCCTTCCAGGAAACTTCTGCCCATAGTAACTCTTTCCTTCTTCCCTCCGTGCTCAGTGGCTCCCAGGGAGAGACCCTGAGTGTGAGTCCTCTCTTGTTACTTGCAAGTGCATCATTTTCTCTGCTCTTATCCTGCTATGGATCCCTGTTGCTTGCACATAATTCTTCTTGTTGCCCTGTGCAACTCTTACTGGAGGCTGTGACACAGTACATGTGTCAGTGTACAGATAACCTGGGAGATAATCATGCTGGCACACATCTTTCAGCCTAGAACAAGGCACCTAGTTCCTACATGGGGTCTCTTACTGTACTCTAAGTCTATGGCCACCAAGTGCCCTGGAATTGGCCAACTACTTCCACCTGGCTGACAAAACCAAGGCCTTCCCTAGATGCCACTGACTCTGGGGTGCAATGGCAGCACTTCCAGACCACTGAACGGTGATTTGGGGCCCGCAACAACTAATGGGAGCATATCATCCTGGGCATCTGGGATGATGAACAGGGGCTACAGAACATCATGGACATCATTGCTGAGCTGGCCCCCTGCACTGAGTGGCAGGACATCAGCCTAAGCCCATCCCTGACTCCAAAAAAGCATGTCACCATCACCATCTGGAAGCTCACCACCTCTGACAATCTCTGGTACATCACCAACCAGTTTGGCATGGGCAAGTCCGTGGCCAAAATGATGTTCTGGGAGGTGTGTGGGGTCATCTAGGACATGTTGGTAAACAGCTTCATCTACCTTGTCAACCTTCGGGAGGTAATTTCTGGCTTCTGCCCTGATGGACTTCTCCAACTGTGCCTGCCCCAAGGTGGTTTGGAGTTCATCAATTGCAAGGGGAGTTTTGTCATGTTGCAGTGCATCATCAGCCACTATGGCCACTTCACCCACATCTTTGCCAGCTGAGCGGGCAGTTCCCACAATGCCATCCCCCTCCAAATGGTGAAGAGTAGATGCCACACCTCCAGAACCCCCAGCAGCAAATTTGGTGGAGTTCTCATCTGACCTCTCATCACTGGGGACCAGGCCTATGCCCTCCTTCCCTGGCTCATGTAGTCTTGTACAGAGCACCTGTACCACAAGCAAGAATACTTTCACTGCTGCCTCAGCAAGTATAGCATAAGAATATAAGAACTGCCATTTACTGGGTCAGACCATAGGCCAACTTGACCAGTATCTTTTGTCACACAGTGGCAGAGAATGGATGCTGAAAGGGAGAGTGAACTGGGTATAATCAGGGTTTTTTCCACAGTTGCTTTCACTTGCAGCCTCCAGCATTTAAGGGCTAGAAGCTCTGATTCAGAGGCTGTGTCATGCCTTATTGCTACTGCTTGTGTTCTGCAGAACATCTGTAAGGTCAGGCAGGAAGTCTTAAGCAAGACTTAGGCAGAGGAGGCACAGAATGCCAACAAAACACAGTGCACCAAGACAGTGTAGCACTCAGGGGCAAGCTATAGTGTGCCCTTCCCAGAACATGCATTCCTAAAACAGGCCAACTGGCAGAGATTCCAGGTCAGGGAAACCCTGATGGATTATCTCCCAGGCCACCCAGATGGGAGGTGGTCCCTAGAGTAGGGCTTAAGGGCCTTTGGAGGTGAGAAGCCCCAAGCCACTGAGCCTCAGCCTTGGGAAGTGGGTGCTAGACCACCAGAGGGGAGCTATGTGTCCTCCCAGGAATAGAGGGAGGAGGGGGGAATGTGCTTTCCTGGAAGGGACCTTGACCATTCAGTACAGTGACTGATTCAGTACAGAGTCAAAGCTGCTTTGCAGCCACAGACTTTGCAATGTCATTAAGGACTGAACAGCCAAGTGACACCTGCAAACCTCACCAGGATCCTGACCTTGGAACAACCTTGCTTTAGCACAGTCCAGCTGTGTTTGCTTTCTCTTGTGGAACTTCTGCTTCTTCCATAGCAAAGCGGGGTGTGGGGGGAATAACCCTTTCTGGTCTCTGATTTACAACAATGCCAACAGTTCTTATCACTTTGTCTTTTCACATGTCCCTGACTTGGCCTTTCTATATGCCATCTATCTCTGTAGTATGGCATGGCGTGGCGTGTAGAATGCTAACACCTACTACTGCCCATAGTCTTTGCCTGATGAATAAATAAACTATTTTGGTAATTTTTTCAGGGCACAATGGGGGATACAGGATCCTTCAGTCATCTGCCTTCTACGAGGGTGCTTGGAACAGCTGTGTAATTAGGGTTCAGCCAGGGAGCAACAGGGAGCAGAATTCACTGGAGTTCAGGGGGAAGGTAAATGGAGGAGGAGGTCTTGGTTGCCACCAACGTGGAAGGGGAGGCAGGGTAGAGGGGGTGTTGATGTTGTCCCAGTGTTGGGGGTGGGATTTGCCAGCTCTTCTCAGTAAATGAAAATGGCCTTGAGGGAAACTCAGGGTGATGTGACTAAGCTGGATTTGTTTTCAAATTTGTTCACGGATGGGGTGCAAAATGTTCAAGGATGTGGGCTGGACATCTCAGGTCGCTGACAGAGAAAATGGGGGAGCAGTGGTGCAATCTAGCTAGTGTAGAATCAATGGTTAAGCAATTAGCTCCCTGGGCCAGTTGCTTTGTCCAGAGAGGGTGGAAACATAATACTGTCTCTCACTCCCTCTATCCACACACTGGATACTCTCTTCAGGGCTTTGGGCAACAACAGGATGGTTGGGGGTTCTGACCATGAAGATACTCAGTAGTGGCCACTTGCCACCATGGGATAGGAAAGAGGAGAACTACAGCTGGTGAGGCCCCATTGACTTGCTACCACCTTGCTCTCATCAATGGATAGTGATGACACCCTGTCCCTGCCCCAAGAGGATGTGGGGTTCCCTCTTCACTCAGGTCCCCATCATGTCTGTGCAGTGCAATGTTAATCCTGCACCTCCCTGGGCAGCAGGTTCTGCCTCAGCACCATCAGGATCAGTACTGGGATTGGGAGGAGAGGTGGGTGCTGTTTGTGTCCCCACACAACTGAGCATGGGAGGGGGTGCTCTGTGGTTCCCTGCACCGTAACCAGGAGGCCTGGCATTCAGTCTCTGCATCAGTAGCAGGGACCCTGAGGCACTGTCAGAAGAAGGGGACCAGAACACCCTTGACCCTGACATGGGAAATGCTGTCTCTGGGCATTAACTTCCCCTACATTCAGTGATCTGTTGGGGACCAGGTGCTTGTCCCAAGGCCACCTGAGATGTGGTTGGCACAACATTGGTGTTCATGTCCTATGTTTTGATCACTGTGCTGTCAGAGCTGTTGCCTGGGTCCTGCCTTGGTGCCCATGGCCTTGCCATTGAAGAACAGGTTGAGGGAGGAGCTGAGATCCAGCTCCAGGTGCAGTGCACCTTCTGGTTCCCCTGTGTTCACTGGGGAGCTGCTGCTGTGCATCCAGTCCCCCCTTTTTTCCAGGGCCACCCTGCACTGTCTGCTGCAGGTCTCCTTTCACCAGCTGCAACTCCTTTCCAGTGGTGGCATAGTTGTGCAGACAGCCCTATCGCTTGTGAAGATGCAGGATAGCTCCTTATGGAAGAGCATGGTGTGCCTCCAGAGGTCTGATTGGTGTGAGTCTACTCAAAGCTGGTCACCATCCATTTGGTTTTGACCCTGCACTGTGACCAGTTCTGGTCATGTCCCCAAGCTCTCATCTCTGTGGCAATCTGCTTGTAAAACTCCTTGCTGCAGTGCATGCTGTGGAGCTGCTCCTGGGTCTCCTCCTCACCCCCAAAGGCAATGAGATACCCCATTTCCTCATTGGTACAGTTCTGCCCTCAGCTGTAGGTAAGGGAGAAAGATGGGGTGGGCTCTGCCATGGACTTTGGTGGTACCTCTGGGATCTGGGTGTCTGTGGGTGGATCTGGATATCACAGGATGGATGAAAATCTGGCTGAGATCCTGGATGTAGGTTGGGGTGGGTGGTTGTGGGTCTTGGTACATGACTTCCTCTGACCCCAAATGGTTCAGGCCCAAGTGTCTCCCCACTCCGAAGTGATCAGAGCATAGCTGGCCATGTCTCCTCAAACCCCAAGTTTTGAGGGGCATCCCCTTGCTGTCAACAACTCTGCTAGCAATGCCCACCTTGGGCTAACGTGACTCAGGTATTTGTTGGCAATGGCCAGGCTGGCCAGGCTCCCCAAAGCCCTGAATTTGGCAGGGTCACCTTTCCATACATGTGTATCTGCCCCTTATCCCAGATATAAAATGCCAGAGCTGGTTCACATATGTAGAGGTGCGTCCATGCTGGGGCCTGTGCCATGGGGTGTTCAGGTGTAAATCTTCATTTCTGGAATTTGGGGTCTGTGTCATAGTCATAGGGTCCTGGGTTTATGGTTCTGTATAAATCTTGTTGTTTTTTTGGTCTGTGTATTTGGTTCTGCATGTGGATCCTAGGGTGTTTTTTTCTGTTTACGTCTTCTGAGGCCTCGAGGCCAGGTCCAGAGCACACTTAACACATATACAGGACTGGGAACTCTACAGAAAGCTCTTGTAGCTACCAATCATTATGGATTTGTTAAACAATCATTGGTTAAAAACAATAACTCTGGCAGCCATGACTAGAACTCAGGACTCCCCACTCCTAGGGAGGTCTGTAATCACTAGGCTAAAGAGACAAAGCCACCTCTTATTTGCCCTCTCTCTGCCCCCATGTCTTTGTTGCTCATGTGTGTCCTATGGGCAAGATTTAACAAGAAGGTGGGGAATATACTCACATAGTCTATTTTATAGGCTGGTGGTGAAAGGACTACCTTAGGAATTGGGAGATGTGGGTTTGAGACATCTTGGGGGGGTTCTAAATCCAGGTCTTCCATTTCCTGGACGAGTGCTCTTGAAAAAAAGGTGGGTGCCATTGCCCATAAGCAGAACTGAATTCTGTCAGTGTGAGGTGTGCTTGGAACAGGGCTGACAGATTGGGTCCCTCTGTGGACTTAGGGGGCTTCCCCAGGCTGCTTATGCTGGAGTTAGGTGCCCATCTAATCAAACTGTATTGCTTCTAAGCAAGGCCAGAAATCAAGTCTAGGCACCCGAGGTATTCTGCAGTCTAAAATGGAGGTACCTCCCAAACCTAAGTGCCCATTAAGTTTTGTGGCTTGTGGAGAACTACCAAACTGGATCTCTTTTTGGAATTTAGATGCCTGAATACCACCTCAAATTCTGCTAAAGTTCTGTTACACATTTACAGTATCAGACCGGATTGGGTGCTGAGTCCTTTATTGGATCTAGTAAAAGTTTAGGATATGTTTGAACCCAGGGGTTTTGTCCAGCTCTTTTCCTCAGTATGTTACAGAGAGTCACAAATCCTGTAATCTTCCTCAAGCAATAATAATTGTTCAATTTATCCTTCCTTAATCTATTTCTAAGGGTAATATTACTTACAGAGTGAGATTGGCTTTTCTTGATGACAGATAGAATACACTACTGCTACACTATTATTAAGCAGATATTCTGGAGGTGGAGTACATAAATACATTACCTGCTGCAGCTGCTTACTCAGTAAGCCATTTCGTTTGCTCTGCATGTAAGCATTAGCACTCCCACTCTTTGCTGCACGAATTCTGGCAAGCCTGGCTTTCTGCATAAAGGAAACAAAAGAAAGAAACAGTGCCATTTCTGTTTGTATTCATTATTCTATTTATACAAAGAGCTAATTGGAGTCAGTCATTTATGAATACTAATGTCATAATTACTGAAGGGTTGCTTTACACTGGTCATTCAGGTGCAGCAAATCAAGAGAATTTTCCCATTTAAAATGCAAATTATCTGGAAGTTTTTGTTTGTTTGCATGCATTAACTAAGAAGAATGATTCTGGAGAAGTGGCTATACATATTTTTGCAACATTAGCAAGTTATTTTCCCATTTACTGTGCCTGTGTTTATGTCATTTCTTCTGCCTTATGGTTCAGAAATATTGCTTCCATCTCAGTTTACTCCAATCCTGTGCCTTCAGTTAAAAGTTCCTTGAAAGGAAGGGCAATGATCCAAGAGAACATGACATTTCAACTGCTGTGAGCCATCAAGTGCCTCCACGGTTCCTCAGATCATTCTAATTTTCAGAAAACTATGTCTAACAGAAGGATATAGAAAGATGTCATTATAAATAGCTGTTAAATTCCTATATCCTTGCTAGTGCTTTTCTGCCTGCTGTAAAGAGTCTGACATATCTTGTGACATTAAGGATACTTAATATGGATCACCACTTGTCCTAATCTTATGAATTTAAAATGCAAACTGCTGAGAGAGGGAGATAGAGCTATGTGAGATTATCTCATGTTTGCACAGGTAGGTTGCAACACATTAGTGGAGGGTCTATGAGAGGAGGACAATGGAAAGAAAACAGTAGGGAAGCTCAAAAAAATTTCAGTTAAAATTGCCTTTTTAGTTACTGCAGACTGAACAATGGGAAGCCAATGTTGCAGATGAAACCTGGTATTTAAAGAAAAGACTCTTCAAACCAGTAACACAGAAAACAAACAACAGAGTAACTTTCATTTTGTTGGCTTTTTGGAGAGTGTGGAGTCTTGGCTATTATTCTGCAGCAATTTTTATGCCTAGTTCTTTGCATATGTCAGAGACAGAGATCTTGAGATTTGCTTAGATTTCTGGTTCCTAAGGCCAAGAAGCAAACAGTGACAGCAGCCTAACTGAGGGGGGCAACCAGGGTAGTAGCCCTAGACACCCCTTTGTTGGGGTGTTGAGATGAACCAAAAGCATCTATTGTTGCAGTGGCAGCTGGTTGCATTTCTACAAGCAGTACGGTATGAGCTGGCGCTGCCCCACACACCCTGGGCATGGAGCTGCACTGCTGCACCTCTAAGCAATGGTTTAAAATTAGATTAAAATAAGCAATCTTGAATTACTGCAGTAGAACCCAGAATGATGAACCTTGAGAATCAAGTGTGAAGTTCTGGTTCAATGCATTAAGGATTTTCAGTTTTAGAAATTAGTGAAGGGAAATTTTCAGAAAACAGGGAGGGAAATCTCTGTCCCCTTTTTCTCATATGGCATTCTTGAATAAAGCCACTGTCTCCCTCTTATTGGCATAACATGACAGAGTCCTTGAAGAATCATCACAGAAGGAAGTAGCAGCATCGGTACATGCTTGACCCTCTCCCAATCTAGTCAATCATGATTTGGTTTTGAAGGACCAAAAAAAAAAGTTTTTCTACATGCTTAGTGTCATGATTGTAAAAATAGGGACTATTCTCTGCAGCAAAGCAAAGCAAGCCAATCCATGAGGCAAACTGAAAAGAACTATGGAGGCAATCTGGTTTATAGTACATGGCATGGACCTGCAGGTTCAGAGACTTTTTCTGCTGCTGCTACAATTGTTCCAAAAGTAAATCAGACTACTTGGAGCATGAAACCATCACTAATAGCCAGATCCCAACTGACCTCAAGAGTAAGCCCTGGGAGCACTGCTGAGAAATAAACCCCAGCCCATGCTGCTGCACCTGCTCCACATGTGCCCATAGTAGACAGCATAGAGTAGGCAGTGCAGACAGTTTCGGAGTGGGCCTGGGTGCCACAGACTGGCCTGCAGTGTACACTGCAGCCCCATGTTCAGGTTCTCTCCAGACAGGAAATGTATCTGTGGCCCAGTGAAGAGGGCACTTCCCCTGCAAATGAGGAGAGTGCAATTTTTCAGTCTTGGGCCTACTGCCAGTACCATTTATACATTTTACATTAGGCAGACAGTCAATACAAAAATACTTCTGGCACCCCAGGACAGAACCTAGGATTTCACTTTCCCAGGGAGTGCTATATCCACTAGGCTACAAAGTCACATTTCTACTTGCTTACTCTTTTCCCTTTGACCCCATGAATCTTGTACACTTGGCTGCACAGTGACCCAACTTCAACAGGAGTGAACCTGTTGGAAACCCAGCCCACCCGTAAGGGCAACCCCTAGAGAGTCACAGGTCTGAGTATGAATCGTGTCAGGGTGTGATGGGGCAAGAACCTAGGTCCTTGCCCAAGCAGTCACTTAGTTGAGAGCCTAAGGAATAAAGAACCAAGTAAGAGTTTAGGTCAATAATGTATGGATGGGTAGGTGAGGGGGGCATGAGACCTGAATCTCTCTAAGTGGGGAGCCCCAGAATGGAGTAGGCTCCCTTAGGGACTTCATGCTCCTCATACTCCTGCTTCCCTTCTTCCCATGACCTTCGGGCTTAAGCTCCAGCAGGAGAGCAGCATGGTGGTGCAGGAATGTGAGTGAATGAATGAAGGGCAATCCAGGAAATATAGTTCTGTTGAACAGCAGCAGGTCATGGGATAGAAGCTGCTGCTGGGAGGAGATGCCATCCCAATTTTTTGCTTCAGAAAATGGGTGGCTTTTTGGTAGTTTGGCTTTGGTGTCAGTGGCAAAGCAATAGGGTGACATCTCTGTTCAGGGGCTGCGAGCTCTAGTTGCTCCCGTGCTGCTGCCAACTGCTAGAGCCTCCAGAGCCATGGCCTGCAAAGAAACTCTGGAGGAATCCTGGCAAATTACAGCTCTGGTTCAGGCTCTCCAAGCACTGCTTTAGACTGCAAGCTTTCATTGGGAGTGAGGTACCTACAGTAGCTCAAATCAAGGTTTCTATGGGTTTTTTTCAGAGCCAAACAGGAACACTTAAGTAGTTCTGTGGCTGACAAATAGGATCAATTAGAATCACTCTTTGTGGCTTAGGTGCCTAAATGCCACTTAAGTCCTTATTACGTACCTTAGAGGTCTGTTAGGATCTGGCCTCACATCATAAATTTCTTAGGATGTATAACTGGGCATTTCCAACCTATGAGTTAGGTAAGGGTTATGATGCCCCTTTCATTAGGGGAACATTCACAAGGACATAGAATTTAAGTAATTTTCACAAGCTAGAGTGGTCGTTTGGGTGGCACTGGTGCTAAGGTGCACAATTAACAGCCCAGTGATCACAAGTCTGAAGCTGTAACAGAAGCACTCCTGGCTCTATCAGATTCCAAAGAATCTGAAAATTCTGCTAAATACCTTGTCATGACACAGACACAGGAAGAAGAGGACATGATTTAATAACATGCCTGTGATAAAAATCAGAAAGAAGAAAAAAAGATAATGGGAAATTACATACACATTATTATAGGTCCTGCCCCCTTAAGATAATATAGGTATATTCAGATGTACTTATGGGTATATAGACCATGACAAGAGAATCCCCACTTACAGTAACTTTCATCTTCTGTGTGCCACTGGTGATTGAGAGAAAGACTTCAAATGCCAAGGCTTCTGTTCTATCAGTTTATTGCAATGTACTTTGAGGGAATTGCTTGTATAGAGCACTCTAACATGAAAATATCTTCAAAAACAAATACAGTCTTTTGATTCAACCTTTGATTGAGGAGGCCAAAATAGAGAAAGCAATCCTTTATCTGTGTTCCATCTCTGCCAGGGCAATTGACTACCTGCTCAATCTTCCTGGGACACATGAAACAACATATATCTTGGTTGGCGACCAGTGTTTGAGGATCTAACTGAGGTTAGGTTAACAAGTACAAGACTTGAACAACGAGAAGCTGAGCACAGCAGTACACAGCATGTATTCTGAATGATCAAGAAAAAGAGGCGAGGGTTACGCAAATGAATGGATCACAGAAATGGGATCCCATGAGGCAGTCTACTACAAAATGTGGAGGCCTCAAAAATATGCCTGAAAAGCCAGTCAGTTCACAGAAAAGAAAGAACAGTCTCCTCTTCGTACTTCCCCAGTCTTAGGACACTGTGAAGACACCTCTGCAGCCCAGCATGTTTTTTGGTGGGAGAAACAGGGGAGAGGCTTTGTTCAACTGTAGTCTTAAGCAGGAGTTGTAGCCAGTAAATACTTCTGGTTGCTCTATTAATTACTCCTGCTACTTGTTAAAATTATCAATCCACTACTGATAACATAGTGTGGAAGTTTAAATGTGATGTTCAGAGTCACTTGCATTTGATAGAATTCACTGGCACAATTTAACATAAGTTAGTTCTTTTGAGTGAAGCAGTGGCATAATGGTGTGGCTGGCCACCTGGGGCAGCTGTCACACACGGGCAGCAGTGACTTCTGGTGCGGCTGCTTCTTCTGCCACAATTGTGGTGCTGTGGTGGTAGCCATTTCATCCCATCCCTCCCAAGTTAGTGCCAGGGCAGCTGCCCTGGTTGCCCTGTCCTAATTACACCAGTAAGTGAGGTACCATGTAGAGAACAGCCACTCTTGTATGTAACCAGAGTGAAAGCAGCTGTATTTTTCCCCTTAGCACCTGGCATCTGGGTGCTTATTCAGGTACAGCAGAAAAGACTTCACTCATGCTACTTTCAGTCAATTCAAAACATTTCTAAACTCTCTCTTTTTGTGGATCAACATGTGGGAAAACCAAGAGAGAGAATGAAGTTCTCCTGCAGTAGGACATAGGACCTCAGAAACAGGACTGAAGGTGTCTCCGGGATCCAGGACCAACACTGTGCCCTGAAGTTTTTCCACTCTTCCTCCACTGAGGAGTACTGACATTTTGTGAAAGCAGCTGCAGCAGTGGAAGAACATGGAGAATTTTGCAGTCTCTAAAACAAGGACAAAATAGCTGAATTTTGGAAGTTCTTTTGGCCGCTCCAATAACATTCTGCTGCAACCTTCCATCTGAATCTTTCCAGCAAATGGACCATCAGCTGAGCTCGGATGCCTAGGATGTGAAGTTTGTTTTCACATTGTTATGACAGTGATCAATCACATCTCTCTTTGAAATATTTTTACTTTTCTTCTACCTTTGATTTTACTACTTATAAACTAGTCCCTTAGGGCATTTTTACACATGCTCCAGGGGTGTTGTGTGGTGCCACTTAATCAGAGTGGCTCCAAGAGCCGTTCTAATTAAAGTGCCCACAGCATCTTGCGTATCAGCTTCCTTGTGCTTCAAAATGTTGGAGGGGGTGCTTTAACTAAAACTCATTGAACAAGTTTAAGTGCTCCCACCACCATTTTGAAGCACAGGGATGCTGATACACTTGACATGGAGCTGGCTGGAGCATGCTAATTAGCATGTTAACAGCAGACTTGATTCATCAAGTCCGTTTCAACATGCTGTAATTACAGTGCATTGGAGCAACCTCCCCGCAGCCTCCCTGCACGCCTACAGATACCTTTATATTCTACAAATGGTGAGATGCAGCACCAGCACAAAACTTAATAATATGAATGTTATTTCATGGTGTGAATTCCAGCATATGGAAGCATCTTAAATTCACCAGAAATTCAGTCTATCAGATTTAGAGTGAGAGAGAGAGAGAGAGAGAGATTTCATTCATTTTAATAAGACTTTAATAGCATTAATATCAGCGTATCCATTGTACTGGCCACCATATTTACTATCTTTCTAGCTGCCCTTTAAAGTCTGTAGTACAGAGTCTTTGATCTTCACGATCTTTTAATGTACAGATAGAAGTGTCTTAATGTATTCTTGTGGACTCAAGACTAATCAAATGGCCTGAATTCTCAGTTCTACTAAGCCCCCTTTACATTGTCCTGGAGCTTTAAAGTGTGCCCAAGGGTAAACTACACTAAATGTAATTTTCTTTATTAATTTCTAATAATTGCAAATATTTCATATTAGATTAATGATAATATAGATTATACAAACACTCAATTGCTTTTTACTTTCTTCAATTTGTGGATCTGGAAATGAAGTTCAGAGATCATAAGAGCCTTACCATTTTATTTTTTTAATAATCTTTTTAATAAAACTTGTAAATAACATGGTAAGAATTAACCTGAAGAAGAATGCTTTGCCTTTCCAAGCTTGGCTAACTTTATCCCAACTATGCAGTTGGTCCAATAAAAAATATTACCCCAAAAAATCTTTGCCTCTTGAATAATTCCTGTACCAGCACAGCTACAATGACACTCAAATGCTACCATGACAAGAATTAAGACATTTCTGAGTACATTAATTCCATATCCACTAATTGTAAACATTACCTATTTTATTTGAGAGATGGAGGTTCTATTAATTATTCCTCTTTGGGCTGCATTAAAAAAAATCTGCAGGTTAAATACTTATAACCCCACTGAAGTTAGCAGCCATTTAGTTTTAAAATCTTGTATTAGCCAACATGGTGCCCTATTACAAATGCTCTGCCCTGACTTGCTAGATGCCATTAAGAAGTTGTTGCACTTTATCCTAGAGCTAGTGTATTTCAGGAATAGCTAAAGCTATTAATAAATTGACAGGCAGATACAGCATGCAAAATCAGTAAGTAAAATAGAACACCCAGTCTTCAGGATAAATTATACTATATAAATAAAAGAACCAGACTTAATTTTGATGTAAATCAATTCTTTGGGTTGCTGGTTGCTGGACATTTTATTACAGCATCATGCAAACTTCTGAGAAAGTGTTTGTGCAAGTTGGTAATTATGGATTTCTCTGGCCATTTAGGAATCAGTATTGATGGACTCTGCAGGAGCTACATTCAGGTTTCACTGGCTGGGAGGCAGTAAACATATCACAGGGTTTTTATGGATACAAAAAAGGGATAGAATACAGGGAACACATTTAGGGAAGAACATCATGTTCACCAAAAAGAGAACATTACTTTGGAGCTCAGCTCTCAACCCATGATACTCCTGAAATACAGGATCAGATGTATCTATGCTTACATAAAGAAATGTTCTTTCTTTAAATAATAAGGTCTACAGATCATTTACAAACGGTATTTGAGTCCGCTTTGCAGCTTGGGGCAGTATACTCAGGATCATTCAAATAACTTGATGAGAAGAGGTTAATCAAAAGCTCACCAAACTGGTTTATCATGAGTGAGCCCTTCCTGGGTGTAGGAGCCACCTTGATAATCTGACTTCCATGTAAGGCTTGGTGTATGGGCAGGGCACATGCAGATAGAAAAAATTCTCTTTGCAATAGGACCAATTGTGTCTTTCTTATTGGGCGCATCTACCTGTTTCCTTGACTGCGCAGTTGGTACTGTGCAGTCATTTAGTATTTTCTAGACATTTTCTAGAAAGTAATAAATGACTGTGCAGTACCCACCTGTCCTGCACAGTCCTGGCAGTGCACAGGTCATAGCTGTGGTGTCACAGTTAGTGCCTGCCAACGCTATGTTACCATAGCTCATCACTATGGCAATTTATTAAGGAAACCCCAGCAGATACTGATTGTGGCAACCAGAAGAGGTGTGTTAACTGTGGCAGGAGCAGTACTCATTGTGTTTCAGTTGATTCAATGCTGTTCTCTCTTTTCTGGTACTCATTCCCTAAACTGATCTCTGCCAACAGATGAGACAGTTTCATGTGAAGGAGAGAACTGGAATTATCATATTAAGTCTGGATCACAGAAACAGGTTTGTATATAGCATTTAAATTCCCAACAGCCTCCAATGAGAAATGGATTTCTGTTACCACAAGCATCATTATTTTCCCTCATTATGACCATCATTTATCTTTTTTAATCTTCTGAGATGTGACGCTGTACCAGATTGTATTTATCCTCAACTCAGCCCTATGACCAACCTCCATAGCACCTTTCAGGTTTATATGCCCTGAATCTAAAATACTCCAGGAACAGCAGCACTCTGTGTGTTTGTTTCAGCTTTCTTTCTGTATAGAATTCTGATCAGAAAAATTGCCAGGATAAAATAAGTAAACTTTCTTCTTCCCTAAAGCCAGTATTACTGCTGCCTGGATCCTGCAGAGAGAACCTGAAAGCAAATACAAGATAAAATGGTAATCAACATTAGTAAAAGAAAAAGCCTGCCATCCATCTGTAAAACTTAATAATTGTCTGAGGACGCTAAATTGAGAAGGCTTTGAAGAAAACCCCCTGCTAGCTGCTCATTTACATGTTCCAGAAGGAGCACTGTTCTGTTCATCCCTTCTTTCAGGCTTGAAATAGAATGAGCAATGGATGATAGATGATTTCATTCAAGTCATGGCCTTTCCGTGGTTTGCTGAGACTGGCAACGGGCAAATTTTTGCACATCTCCATAGGTATCTTGCCCGGACAATGCTCAGTGACCACATTTAATCAAAGCTTTTGCTCTATTGAGAGCCTGGCAAGAATTGGAACTGGTAGGAGATCTGCAAATATTTTTGAGGCAACAGACAGCAGCTACTGACTACACTTGTTTAAGCTACTACTTGCAAGGAGGCATTTTCTCCTGTTGTATTTCATGGACTGATTCAACTTGCCACATTCTATATTACTGTACTGCACATCTGTATTCCTTTCTATAGTGTCTGGCAAGAGTCAGGATCATAAAATTACTTTTCCAATGACTTCAAATAGCTTTAGTTTCCCATAGTTTCCCACTTCTACTAAACCTGGAACTGATTTGTCAGAGTGTCTGAATCTAAGAAGCACACTCCTGAAGAAAACAGAATCTCACTGATTTTTTGAAGGGTAGCTGGGAAGGGTGGGAAGAGAAGTAGTCAGGCTTCTTATTTTTTTAAACTGAGAAGGACTATGATTACAACAGTGTCCACCCTTTCATCCTCAAGAAAGCATCAGAAGACATTTAGGGTTTCAGACGAGAGTTCATATTTGATTGTTGATATATTTTTGTTGGTCTGATGCCACCTAAAGTTTTCATAACCAATGGAGCAGGCTGAGAAGATTAGTCCCATGACTGGTACCTCTGAAGAGCCTATATAGTGATGAAGCCACTTTTTCTGGCAAGAATTTCCCAACCTTGGAAACAGTGAGTCACAGATACTTGTGAATTCTCTTCAGTAAAGCTCCATGGCAGAGACATTTGGCTGAGACACCAGCCACTGTGGAGGCAGAAAAGAGTCAGGAACTTCAGTGCATTAGGTAATCTCCTGTTGCCACGGGCTGGCAGGCCTGGTTTTGTACCCAAGCTGTAAGGGTACTGAAATACCATTGTAATGGATGGGTGGACTTAGCATGAAGAAAAAAGGAACAAATTTTCCATAAAAAAATTAAAAACTACTTTAAAATGAGTAAATTGGCATTGACAAACTTATTTTCTCGATATATCTTATTTAGTTAGGCTATAAAGGTACATCTCTACCCTGTCTTCTGACTAACTTCAAACTAACATGGTTAACTACCTCTGCTCCTTAGGGAACCTGCCATGATTAGTGAATAGTAATTCTCATACTAATACATTACATTCACTTTGGCGCACAGCATATCTTTTGTGCATTCTGCACTGAATCAAAATTGTGAGAGAAAAGTGAGAACACACCTTTTGTGCCCTGCGCTTGTCTGCTCGTTGATTCTGGTGGTAGATACGACTGAAGTTGGAGACAATAACAGGAACAGGCAGAGCAATGACTAAGACCCCACTCAGAGAACATATCGAACCAAAGATCTTCCCAACTATTGTCTTCGGCACCATATCACCATACCTGGATTAGAGAAACAAACCATTTAAAAACATAAGCTAACACATCAGTTTTAAACTCAAATAGCTGCTTGTTCTAACAAATAGATATTCCATGCACATATACATTTGTCCACAATCCTATGCTTTTTTAAGTACATAATTTCATTTTTAATTTAGTGCTTATGTTGATACAGTGCCTAGAGTTGAATCTCAATGATCTTTTATGCCATAAAAAAAAGAAAAGAAAAAAACCCCAAGCCTTGACAATTCTCAGAGTCTCTGGAGCTTGCGTACATCTCTTTTTAATGCCAGATACTGTTTTTCAAGCAATGCTAAGAATTACCTTGGGGCTAGTAGATAGGGGCAACAGACAGCTTATTATGAGGACTTTGTTCTCTATACTTGATAGTTTACTGTATTCTGTAGAGCAGAAATGTGTAACTGAGTATTGCTGTGTTCAATAAAAAGCTAAAATGCCCTTAAAGTTCCATTTTCTTTTTAATTTGTTTGGGTTATTAATTACTATTTCACAGTTGAATAGCATTGTAAATTTGCACAGCATATTACAGAACATAGCTTGTTCAGGCAGTGAATGTGTCTTATCTTACAGTCTATGTAACACAAGACCAAACATTCAGCAAGATGCAGGATAATACTGCAGAAGAGGCAGTGTTTGGGAGTTGCTGTGATGAGAATAAATGTGTGTTTGAAGAAGGACTGGAAGTGTGAAGGAGGAGGTGTAGAACAGGTGACGCGAGGGAGGTTCTTCGAGGCTGCCACGGAAGTTCTGAATCTGAGGGGGAGATGAAGGTATGGACAGAGGTTTGGAAAGGTGCAGGGGGCAGGAGGGGATAGCAGTAGGAATGAGCGCAAAGGCATTTTCCAGGGACAGATTATGTGCGACTTTGTGGATGAGGCTGAGGGACCTGAATTTAGAGGGGTAAGAAAAAAAGGGGTCAAAGATTTCTCTGATGGCCTATCAGGTACTGAGATTAAGGCATGCGATAGTCAGTAGCACTGACTGATGTAAGCAATGTGACTAGCATCATGCTCTTTGACTCAGCCTGAATAACCTGGGCTGACTGGGAGCAGCCTTCAGCATGGGTCCGGAGTGAGACTGAACTCATGCCTCTGGAGACCAGTGCTACCCAGCCGCCCTGGCATCACAGTCCTATATAGGGTAAGAAGAGAGTGCTAATGTTGTGAGCTACAACTGCTAACAGACTAGCAAGCATGAGTCACCTTTCCAGTCCTAAACTTACTTTTCCTCAGACCACCTGCATTTATTTTTAGAGGAAACCCATTGCATCTTGTATTTTTGCATGTCACCAGTTATTAAAAAAATGTGATCTGCAAAATTAAAATTGCAAATAGATGTTTTTGTTTCTACTAATAGAAAATGCCATCATATGTTTTTTTTTTCTGTACAAGAATTGGCTATGTTTTGTAAAGCTACTAAGCATTTTTTTGATAAATAAATACAATTAACCTTAAACCAATAATCTCTGTTGTTCTAGCCTACATTATCACCAAGTTCCTTGAATCCTTTATAGATGTCTTCAGGGTTTATTTTACACTTATTTGAAATCATCTTTATCAATTTCCACACTAAAACAAAACCAAAAAACATCAAGGGAGTTTTTATAAAAGGGAAACTGAAATTTATGTTTATTCATGGCTGACGCTGTCAAGACAAATATATACAATTAGGTTCCTAAATCTATAATTAAACAGCTAAATGTGCAGCTTGATTTGCAAAATTTCTGGGCACCTGTAAACTCTCCTAGTTGCTAACAGGACTTTTTGAACAGTCAAAAGGCAGTTGTGGCTCCATTTTAGTCTGCAGCTGTTGGGTTGGGAAATAGTATACCCAGATGAACACGTAAGACTTAAGTTTGTGTGAATATACTGCAAGTGTTTTATGACTAGTAAAGACTCTAGGCCAACTGACTTCTAATACTTTGGTATCCAGGTATAGTTTAACAGTGTGGCATAGAAATTTTCTTCATAATCATTCTAAAAATTATGAAAAGTTTAACATGAATGTTTGGGATTGTTTGGCTTGTAAAGGTATTCTCAGTCTGTGGTCAAATGACCAGAGCAAGATCTAGCAGCTAGATTCTAGCCCCTTTCATAGAATATTTTAGTTCGGTTTTCTTAATTCTACTTGGATAAGGTGAAACATTGCACCATTTTCCAAATGTAATTTAATCTGCTGCTCACTTGATGTTAATAATATACTCCACATTCTTGATAGCTTTAGTTTAGGCATTCCAATATTTCATCTATTTTTTTGTGTGTTGAAGATGGTAAAGTGCAGTTATATTAAAAAACTGGCTATTTGGGAATAACAGCTTCTTAATCAACAAATGAGCTTCCTATGTGTAGTCAGACTCTCTGCTTGTTTTAGTGACAAACTTGGGCTACTGCTACTTATTTAAGGTTAGCACTGATCTGTTACAGGACAGTGACCTGGATTGTATTCTGGTGTGTGTATGATACAGCAACAATATTATTTCCCAAGTTCCAGTTGCAGACCAAATGTTACCTTCCATTATGTGTTACTAAATGCAAACAATAGAATTGAACATCCTACCCTGCTTCACCTGGGGCAGCTCGGGTCTTATGTCTTGTGGCTGTGTCAGGGCTATGTAGTTTTACTAATAGGTTAGACAATGGATTTGTATAGGATGGTTGGAGAGGGATGATCCTGCCTCATATTTTTAGCCCCATGACAAACCGACCTCTCATCCTGACTTATTTGCTTGGCTCCCGGCACTGATGAACATTGATAAAACTGACACCAGGAGTAGCTTCCAGGATGGGGGTTTGCTGGGCTGGGGGAGCTGTCCATCTAGGGGTGGGGTGAGGGGCTAAAAATAGCCCAGTGCCAGGAAGATGCATAGGGAAAGTGCAGCCCTGGGGCCTTGGTGCTGCGCTGGGAACTGTACAGAAGTGCAGGACAGTTAGAATGGTCTAAAATAGTCAGTCAGTGATCTAAGTTAGACTACCATGGAGGTAGGGTTAACTTAGATTGGGTCAGCTTTTTTAAAACCGATTTAACCTTCCTGAAACTTCTGTACAGTTCACACTTAGATCCACCTAACTAGAGATCCAAGTGTAAAGTCTGCACCTGGGCGAACTATGTTAGAATGGGTAGTCATTTTTAATGCTATCTAATCTCTCTCAATCTTCCCAAATGTTTGTATGAACCCTCTGTATCTATGGGGTATCTATCTATCATAAGCTGACTTAAATGCCTACTTCAAAATCTAATCAAGACAGCCAAATGTTGGGTCTAAGGTAGAAGCTGTGCAAATCTCCATGTGCTGTATTGAGAAGTCAGAAGACTGAATTACAGCAGAATCATCACTTTTGCCATTCTTTCTTAATGTGAGTGAAGAAGGTCTCTTAATAATCAGAATGCATGAGGGAGACACTTACATGAATTCCAATTAGGATCCAAAATACATATTTGTATTAACACTAGCTAATTGTATAACACATATATATATATTTGTGTGTGCATGTGTACGTACGCACACACACTACACATATACATATATTGATGGAAGATATCACATGAATTTTCCTTTTTTTATTGCTTAGTAAATGAATGTGTTTAGAACACAAGGTTTGCTATGAAAAGAAATTCTAAACAAAGTTTAAGCTAGAGCAGGAAACTCCCTGGAAAAATTAAACAGTGTGAAAGGCAACCTTTGAGATTTGTTGGGCATAATAGTTATGAATAAGTCCAGCATATGCATTTTTACAGAGACTAAATATTGTAAAGCAAGCAGTTTAGAAGATTGCCAACATTTAAAAATATCAATGTAATAATGTCAAAACCCACTAGAGGGCATAAAACACCATTAGAAACCAAGTGAACTGATAATCCTTACCACTTTCATACGGCTTCACACACCCCACCCTTGAACACAATTGAATTATAGCTCTGTAACAGTATAACATCATTTGGGGTTTCTTGTCTGATTTCTGCCTTATTCACGGAAAAGGAAAAGTTAGTTTCTCTTTTCAGTCTTATGAAATTCATTACAAAAGTATATAATAGTAAATAAAGATAACCATTCAAATGCATTCAACAGAATTCCTTTTAAAAGGCAAGGTTATTTCGGACTTAGGGGTGACAAACATAGTGAAAAATAATATAGCTATGCTTTGTAGAAATGAAGCCCCCTTCTGTAGAAATCAGGATTTCACATTTGCTTAGGAATGACAAGATCTGTTCTTTTCTTCCTTTCATGATCCTTCATGTTGATTGAAACTTCTCTCAGTCAAGACTGATAATGAAATCTGTAATGTCTGGACCTCAGATTTTAATCAGATCCACTGACTTAAATTTTAGTGCGTAAGGGATGTTCTTTCTTTTTACCTGGTTGACCTGTGCTGTCAGAGAGGTCTAATGCTGTCTCTCCCCTGGTTTCTACTATAAAAAGATCATGGATTGGTTCACATGCTTCCTTCTGTTATGGGTAATGACAGTTAACTAGTAGCCTCATGCACAGGCCTAGAGAATAAAGTTTACACAGCTGTTCACCTGGCTATTTCTTCAGCCAGCCAGCCACCCAATCATGCATGTAGACTCTAGAACTGGGTGACAGGAGGCAAAAAAACATATCTTGGTCTGTATGACAGTAATAATTATTATGATGAATCTGCAGCCTAGACTAGATCTTAAAATACCCTAATGGGTCTGGAAACATAATACAGTAATACAACATATTGCTGTTGGGGTGAGATTCAAAGCATTAGATACATTATTCTAAATTTTATTCTAACCTAGAGAGCTTCTGCGTGGAGTTACAAACATTTTTTTTTTTTGCAGCTTTTACTGCTTTCAAAAGCCCTATGTTGCAATAACCCTATCTTCTGCTGAGTAGTGATGGACGTGGCTCCCTTCAGAGCCCATGAATGCTGTTCCAAGCATTGACCAGAACGATCACTCATAAATGATGAAAAGCACTTCCTCCTCTCAGGGGCTGATCTGCTCACAGACTTTCC